TGTGTACGCTCTACACGAGCTGCCCAATGTGGCTGTACACGACGAGGCGGTGCGGGCGGTGCTGCTGCCGTTGTGGGCGAGTCTGGAAGCATGCAACGCAGCCAATGAGCTGTCTGCGCTTGATACGCAAGTCGCGGTTGTCTCAATGGCGTCGCTGTCGTCGCTGTGGTCAAGTACTCTCCTGGCCATCGCTACGCTCGGCACAGCCCCCTTGGCCCATTCCGCAGCTGCTCTCCGAGCACCACCCGCGGTCAGTTTTGCCATCTTGGCTACTGGCCGCCTCAATAGCCAATTATACCAATTTACCGATCCGCAGCTGCCCTATCTAATCGCGTTTCCGTCTGTTCTTCTCATGGCGGGGATGGTGGTGGTGGGCTGTGCTGTTTTATGGTTATCTTCCCATGCCGCCCTCTTCTTCTACCCGCACCAGTTGCGCAGCGCATGGCTTTCGCCTTTCCTTCGCCTGGTCGTGATCCGCACCCACCCCAACCTGTGAAAGGTAGTGGCCTCAGGATATACTGTGCGTGACGCCAACTTGGCAAACCCCGCAATCTGGGCGACTCTACTTGTTCAAGAGCCACTTGCACCCACTCCTCTCACATGGCTATGCTGCATTGGCTGGCCTTGGTCACTCTCACCTTATGCATGACCATGGTGGTAGACTCCAAGCTCCCACCGTGTTCCAAGGCACCCTCCCGAGTGTCGCCATACATCGTCCCGTCGTTTTGGGTACGTTTGTGACCCACCACTCCCGCTCCACACAACCGTTTTTTGCGCACCACTCACACGTTTTTATCGCGGCTGACAGCTACCGCCTCAGGTCGGATGCTCCACACCAGCTCCTCCTGCTGCGTCAGGAAGGGTGTGGGCCCGCGTGGCATGCTTTGAGCTTGCTGTTGGTCACCGCGATACCTCGCAATCCCTCCTCCCTGTGCCATGCCCCGCGGTCACTCTCGGTCGTGACCCTCACCCGGTTGCTATGCCACAGCCTTCGGCACATGTCCTCACCCTATCGGCCCCCGCCGACCCCGGCCTCGTCCTCGTCCTGGGTGGAGTCGAACAACTCCTCGGCAACAACCCAACAGCCGTCGCACCTACCTCCTCCTCGCGCATTCTGGCTACCGTGGAATGGGGAAGCAGAGGCTTGCTACCCAGACCATCGTTCTCTGAACCGGACATACCCGGCCGCGGTAGCTTTGGGACTCGCGGTTTTGGGCTCGCCACCGTTGTGCCCGACCTTGTCCCCCTCGGCGGTGGCGTCGATGTCCATGTTTGGGGGTCTGACTTCCCCAACACCATGGCTGCTTTTCTCGACTCCACTCCTGTTCAACTGCATGTAATCTCCCATGATCATGCCAAGTTTACCGCTCCCGCGCGCCCTGCTGACGGCTACGCACAGCTGCTCCTTCGTCACCCCGACGGCATCCTCGTCACCTTTGACATCTACTACTCGAGCATCTGCGCAGAGGGCGGCCTCTATGCCGCGCACGGAGAATGCCACTCATGTCCTGCCAACGGTATATGTCCTGGCGGTGACCGAGTTTGGCCCGTTCCTGGGTACTGGTCGCCTTCTGAGCCGTCTGCCATCATTCTCGCTTGTCCTGCTCCTGCCCGCGATCGGTGCCGAGGCGGTCGCTTCTCGCCATGTGGCCCCAACTATGTTGGCCCGATGTGTACATCCTGTGCACCGGGTGCCTACCGCACTGGGCGTATCTGTCGTACTTGTCCTGACGCCGTGCTCGTCGCAGTACCCCTGTCTGTCTTCTGCGTCCTCGTCGCTGCTGCTGCCCTTCTTGCAACGGTATGGGCCTCGGATGCTCGCTTCTCTATCATCATGCTAGCTGCGCGTGTGCTGCAGCTGGTGTACGCCTGCAGGATGGCGGTCTCCTCTTCTCTCTCCGAGCCTCTAGCCACACTCTACCGCGTCCTGGCGCTCTCCGCTGGGGACTTTAACTCCTTTCTTCAACCTGCATGCCTAGGTGCGTCTTCGCTCGAGTCCCAACTCGTTTGGCACACAGTTGTCGCCGTAGGCGGTACACTCGCTCTCCTGGCGGTCATTGCCCTCGCCGCATGTTGCTCTGTCACCGTCAGATCGCCTGCGCCCACGTCTTGGTACGCCGGCCGCGCCGGCCAGATCGCAACCCAGTCGATCATCCTTTTCTTCTTCCAGTCGGCCCGACTCTCCCTTGCAGGATTGCACTGCGTCCCTTCCCAGCTCTCGTCTCGGCTTCAGCTGGCCAGAGAACCCTCGATCACCTGCTTCTCTGCGGCCCATACCACCATTCTCGTACTTTCCGCTGGTCTCCTCACTGTCCACGTCACAACTTCAACCATTTGTGTCGCCGCTATGCTCTACTACTGGTTTCCAAGCGTCATGGCTGGTGACAGCAGCTTGGACTCGTCGTCGCCAGCTACCCGCGTTGTCATCCTTGCGGACGCGGGCTTTTCTACTTGGTGGGGCTCGGTCGCATTTCTGCCCTTCCTACTCGTCCTAGCCGCCATTGAGGTCTTTCTGACCACCGATCCCGGGCTCCAGTTCTCCCTTGTATGTGGCACCACAATTCTTCTTGGTGGCGCTCTGTCCATCAAGGCCCCGTTCTCGTCGTCCCGCCTCGCCGTTTCCACCGCCGCCGCACTTGGTGCTGGACTCGTCGCGGCTGGCACCGCTTTTGTCGCCACTTTGGCTCTCGAACACGTAGATGGCATATCCTATGCCATCTTTGTTATTTTACTCCTCTGCTTTGCCGTCATCATGTGGATAGTCTCGCCGCACAGTTCCATACCGCGCGATACTCTCCCCTGTCTGACCTGCTGCCGGCGCTTGACCGCCGTCCAACCCATCCCCACTCCTGGCGAGACACATTCGCCGCTCGTTGCCTCTACATCAGGCATCTCTCTCGGCTGGGCCACCTCCAGCCACCTCTCGATTTCCACCAAGACCACAGGATCATCCAGACAGCGTGGACGTGTCCGCTCCCGCGGCCCTCCTCGCCATGGACTCGCTTCCCCGCCGTCGCCGATGTATTCACCCTCACTATTTCGGTCCTCACCCGAAGTTTCTCCCGCCATCATGCGTTCAGATTCGCTGTTCCTCTCCGCCGAGGAAACTGCTGCACTTGAGCGCGCTGGATACGCTCCTGGTCCCAGTGCTGATCCCGTTGCCGGCAATGACCATCACGTCTCGGGCGTCACCTCAATGAGCTGTTCCGGCCCGAACATTTCGTCATCCTCTCAAGAGCGCCTTCGCGCCGACGACAAGTCCGCCATGCACCAGGCATATCTCCGCGAACGTGCCGATCGTGCCGCACGTCTGGCCTCTCGCGCCCGTAGCGCTCGCCGCGTTTTGCCGCGCCCAGATGGCCCTCGTTCTGGCAGGAGCAAGAAGCTCAAGTCGGGTCATGCCCGCCCGCGCACTCCTCGTCGTCACCCTCCGCTCACGAATTCCGCTCCCCACGTGCCATCTCGTCAATCCATGCACACTACTCCTGGATCTTCGTCTGTTGTGCAATCACGGCCGCAATCATCTACGTCGTCGGCCTCTGTTTCGTCCTGTTCTGCCCCCCGTACTCGCGCTCAGCTTCATCATCGTCGCCGTCATCGTCGTCATCTACGCCATCATCTTCAACGTCACTGGCCTTGTCGGTCCCGTCGTCGTCATCATGATGGCGTGTAAATTCCTGCTCTTACTTCGCCCGGCGGCTACTCTCCCTCCTGCCCGCCAGCCTTGCAACTTTGCTGTCGTGTTCCTTTGCACCCCCGCTCCCCCCGCTCTCAGCTTCCCGCACCCCGCCACCTGCCTCCCTTACTCCCGCACCACGACACACTCCCCTCCCTCTCCCCTACCACTCCGCCGCCTACCACCCTTCCCTCACACATGTGGCGCGAGCACCGTGTGCTACTTGTCCTCGCGCTAGCTGTGACGGCTGGCCTCGGTCCGGCTCCGGCCCACGGTCTCCCTTCCGACCGTACCCCTGGCGCCCTCGTCCTCCTCCCGCTCAACGCCTCGACATCCGTCACTGCTCCGGCCCCACTGCGTTTGCCAACTACGGCACGGCCTCTGCGGACTTTGCCCTCGACTGGTCGCGCGGCTACCACCCTGGCCCGGAGCCGGCCGGTGTGGTCCTCAACACCACCTGCCCGCCGTCAAACTGCTCCGCCCCGCTCATCACCACGGCCTCGTTCGACACCCTCCTTCCGAGCTTTGGCAATGGCACAGCTTTCTCCGTCGAGCTCTGGTTTCGCCCTGCTGCTACCTCGGCCGTCCTCGCCTCGCCAGTCCAGGCCTCTGGCATCTCGACCTCGGTCGAGGCCGACTGCGGGCCGACCGCTCAGACCTTCCGCGCCTTCCAGATCTTGCAGCGCGGCGACACCCTCGAGTTCACCGTCCTTGACAAGGACACATTGACAGCCGCAGCGTGCGTCACTTGCGTCTCGCCTGGTGCCTCGCTTGTCGCTGGCGAGCTGTACCACGTCGTCGCAAGCTATCCCGGCGAACAGACCCGCCCGCTCGCCCTCACCATCAACGGCACCGCCGTCAACTGCGCTGCTCAGCCCTCGGCCTCGCCCATCGGGGCTCGTTTGTCGCAGCCTGGTCTGCTGCGCTCTCCACCCTGCAGATCTCCATCGGCGCCCGCCGCGACGGCGTCCGAAACTGGTTTGGCTCGGTCTACCTTCTCGCTGTCTACGGCTGGGAACTCTCGCCCACTCAAGTCGCCGCAAACCTTGCAGTTGGGCCGTACAACATTGCGCCCATTCCCGGCAACGCCTCTGTTGCCCTCCTTGAGGACACCTTTGCCATCGTCAACCTTACTGCACATGATCCGGCTGACGATCCCTCCCGTTACCTCTACTCTGTCCTCTCCGGGCCCGATGCTGGTGGCACCTTGTACTACGTCGCCGGCGACGGAAGCCGCGGAGTCGCCCTGCCGACCACGTACCCAGTTTACGTTCCGTCGCTGCCGGCCAGCGGCTTGGCCCAGCTCTGGTACCAGCCGCCGCTGCACTATTCCGGCACTGAACGCTGGTCGTGGACTGTCTCGGACGGCGTCTCTGCCGCGCTCGCGCAGACTGCGCTCATGACCATCTACGCCGTAGATGACCGACCGATCATTGTCCTCCCGCCAGGCGCTTCCATTGCCGGCGGCCCGGCAGGCTCGCGAGTCTCGCTCCACCCTCTTGCCGTCGTTGACGTCGACGCTGACTCGATCCTCGTCTCGGTCTCCACCTCGGCCGGGCGGCTGGCCTTTGAGCCGATCGTTGCCCACTCCGATAACGCCACCCTCGCATCCGCCGCCTCGGCGGCGCTCGCCGCCGTTGACGTCATTGTTGGCTCGAGCTTGACGCCGCACTCGTCGTTTCTTATCCACGGCTCGGTCGCCGACGTCAACGCCGCACTTGCCACCGTCGGCTACTACAAGCGCAACGCTGTTGCCGCGCCGACGTCGGACACAATCCGCGTTGAGGCCACCCACGCCGGCGTACGTACTCTTGAAACCTTCTCAATTGCGCTGCCAAAGGCTGCCGCAGTCGTCCACGATCCGCCGCCCACGCTTGCCGCCGGTGCTGCCTCGCCTCCAATCATCTTTGCGCTTACCCTCCCGGTGCCGTGCGGCACCTCGCTCATGCTCACACTCGCCACCGACCCGGCCGCTGCCGGCTCCATCGCCTTTGCGCCCGGCACAGAGGTCATTGTCTTTGCCGCCGGTGCCTCTACCGCCAACATCACGGTTTATGGCGTGACGCTTGGGCAGGCTGCCATCAGAGTCACCGGCGTTGCAGGCTCGGCTGCAAGCTACTACGACTTTGCCACTATCTCGCTCCCGGTCACCACTGTTGTGCCCGGCTCGGGCACCGTCGCTTCTGTCAGCCCGCTCATCCTCACCTTTCCCACCTCAGTCATCACTGTCACCGTCACGCTTACTGTGCCGCCGCAGTTTGGGACCGAGCTCGAGCTGAGCCCAGAGGTCCTGGCCGGGCCGGGTCTGGTCACCTTTGCCGACACGCCTGCGCTCTTCCCAGCCGGTGCCCTGCAGGCCACGTTCACTATGCTCGGCGCTGGGCCAGTCTACGGCAACGTCACCCTCGGCTTTGTCGCCTCGGGTACGGCACTCGCGCAGTTCAACGTCTCTGCGTATGCAGAAGTTGTCACCACCGTCGTTCCGCAAACCGACGCTGTCATCACCCTGGCACCGCTCCCGGCGTATGTTCGCGTCGGCCAGCGTGCCGCAATCCCCACCAACTTTACCCTCTCGGCGCCGGTCCAGCCGAGGGGCACGCTTACACTCACAATCGCCGCCGCGGTTGACCCCATCCGCCCAGTGGCGGAGCAAGGCTCAGTGACCACCACGCCGGCAGCGGTCTCGGTCACCGCTGTCGACGGCGTCTCGGGCTTTGGCCTCTACCTCTCCGGTGCCACCGTCGGCTGGGCATACGGCAATGTGGTGGTGGGCGGCAACTCGGGTGGTCAGTTCAACGCCTCGTCGCTGGCCGGCACCTACCTCACTCGCGTCCTCCCGACCTTTGCATTTGCCGAGTGTGCACTCTCGCCGCTGTTTGTGGGCGAGGCATGCTCGCTCTCGTTCTTCCTCGCTTTTGAGCCGCCGGCGGCGCTCACGGTTCCGGTGGCTCCGCTCGGCGACAACGCGCCGATCTCGGTTGACCTCGGCGAGTCGGCGTCGGTCACCTTTGCGGCCGGCTCGCCGGCGGGCGCGCTGGCAGTCACGTCTCATACCGTCAACTACACCGGTGTGCCGGTGAGCATCACTCTGCCCGCGTCGGCTGGAGGGACAACCATCACGTCAGAGCCCGTGGTGGTCCGCGAGCCGGACCCACTGGTTGTCATCGCCGCGCCGCGGTGGATCCTCGTCGGCGCCACCGCGAAGGACTTTGTCCTCGGCCTTCCCTATGCTCCGCGCTCAACCTCGCAGGCGCTCGTGGTCAACGTTGCGCCGTCAGACCGTGCCGAGTCGACCGCACCGTTTGAGCTGCGCGGCTCGACCAGCTTAACCTTGGCCACTGCAGCGCAGTCGGTCAGCTTCGGTCTTGCCTCGACGAGCGCAACAAGGACTGGCACCATTCACCTCGACGTCAACGTCGATGCTGCTGCATCGTCGGCGGCGCTCCAGTACGCCGACCCCAAGGCCCTGCTGGCGTCGATCGAGGTTCTAGACCACGACGGCATCACATACATCTCGCAGGTTGATCGCGACCTTGTCATCGACACCGAGCGAACCATCACCATCGCCCTCACCTCGCCTGTCCCGACCGGTGAGCTCCTCGAGGTCGAGGTCGTGACATCCGGCTCGGGCGAGGTCTCGCTCGCGAACTCGGGCACCGCGCCGTCGCCAACGCCCGCATCGAGCCTGGTGCAGATTCGGTTAGCCTCACCATGCGCGCCCTCCGTGTCGGCTGGGTCGCTGTTCGTGCCCGCCACGGTGGCTCGACAAGCACCGCCGCTGCCGCCCGGTTTGCCGTCGACCACGTGGCGTACTCGTTCCGAGTCATTCCGGCGTGTGCTTTTGGCCAGGTCGTCAACTGCGCCTTTGCCTGTGTCCCGCACGGACAAGACTCGCCGGCCACATGCGCGTCGCAGTCCAAGGCGTCGCCGTGGACCATCATCCTGGCTGCCATTGGCTCAGTCCTTCTCTGTCTCTGCATCTTTGCTCTCTGCCTCTTCCTAATGCGCCGGGGGCGGACCAAGGAGGACAAGGAGATTGACGCCGCCCTGGTCGAGCTCCGCAACGAGTCCACCAAAAAGGTGACCGTCCACAAGAAGACCGTCGTCGTCCTCGAGTCGGTTACCGATGACGATGACGCGGAGGATGAGACTGATGAGGCCCGTGGCTCGTCGTCAACCGATGGGTTCTTTGCGGACGACGACGACGATGATGATGATGATGACGGCGACGGAGGCGACCCAGCCGACGCCACAGTCGGTGGTGACCGGTATCTGACCAAGAAGACAAGATATTGAACATGTCACCACGTCTTGACACTTAGTTTGCGTTCATTACGCGGGGCGAAGCGACATCACTTGCGGCAGACCTTGATGAGGTAGCGGATGCGGACACGGGTCTCGTCAAAGACACAGTACTCCGAGTGGTGGAACCGCGACGAGCTGTACTTGGTCGACTTGGGCTTGCCGGCCGGAACGCGGACGCTGTGGCCGTCGAGGTCGAGCACGACGTCGTCCTTGGGGTCGGGCTCGATGGTGCCCATGGCACGGATCGAGTCGTAGCCCGAGGGCGGGGCGCGGAGCGACCAGTCGTCGGCAAGAAGCTCCGAGGTCCTGCCCATGACAACCTCGTCGAGGAAGAAGAAGCCCTCGCCATCCGGAGCGGTGCGGATGTACTGGGCCGACTTCTGAGCCATCGATGCGTGGTAGAGCGACTTGCCGACGCGGCCGCCAGCCGAGGGCATGATGCGAAGGCCCGACTTGAGGATGGCGGCGACCACGGCGACGTTGGTCGAGTGGAAGAGCAGGTGGCGCTCACCGAGCGCGTCGTGCTGCGCAAACCGCTCGTCGGCCGAGTGGCGCGAGACAGCAAAAATGTCGGCGATCTTGAATCGGTTCGAGGCGAGCGTGTTGTTGAAGTACTTGGCGAGGAGCTTGTAGTCGTCCGAGCTCTTGTCGAGCGCCTCCATGTCGATGTCGAGGCCGTTGAACTTGACGTCGAGCGGGTGCGGGACAAGCTCCTCCTTAGCACTCTGCTCGGCCTTGGCCGCCTTCTTGAGTGCAGCCTGTGCCGACTGGATGTCGTCGAGCACGTCGAGCATCTGCATCTTTTGCGTCACGGCCTCGTGCGACGAGAGGACCGGCGGCCGCTGCGAGCGCGAGAAGGCGTGCGGGACAAGCGTGTAGAAGGTCGACGAGTGGGACGTCATGCCGCTGCGGTTACCCGAGTCAATAGCCGCCTTGAGCTTGCCGAGCACTGCCCGTGCCTTGGCCACCTGCGTCGTCGAGATCTTGCCCAGCGGCATGCGCTTGGTATCGAGCCCGAGCTTGGTCATCGACGATTTGAACATGTCCGAGTCAAAGATGAGCTCCACAGTGTCACGAACGGCCTTGGAGAGCGTGCATGGCTTGACTTTTTGGCCGTGCCCGACGCACCGGCAACCGCGTCGAGTGCCGCCGCAAGCTCATCCTCATCACCATCGTCGTCCGCCATCTCCATCACTGTGTACTTCTTGGTCTTGGCCTTGTACTTGGCGCGGTACTCCTTGATCGCCGCTTCGGCCGTCGAGCACGACACAAGCTTGGTCTTGCCGCTCTCGCCAACCCGGCCCCACCGGAAGAAGGCGTAGTACCTCGACGGGCCTTGGATCGCCTGCAGCGCGTAGAACTTGTTGTTCCCGTACACGCCCGCAGAGAGGTTGACCTGGTTGAGCATGGCCGAGAAGATCTCACCGTCGACGGAAAGGACCCGCGAGCCGGGCGGCACGTTGGCGAACGCATCGACCTTGGGCACCTTGCCAGCCTTGGCCTTTGCTGCCGGCGTGGCCGCCTTCTTGGTCGCCGGCGCCGCTGCTGCCGCTGCGCTTCCTCCCGATCCGGCCGCGCGCTTGCGCTTCTTGCTCGGCGCCGCCGCTGCCGCCGCTCCGCCTGCCCCGGCCTCCAGCCGCGCCACCAGCTCCGCCTTCTTGCCCTTGGTCTCCAGCCCGGCTGCCGCGCACTCGTCACGCAGTTCGGCGACCTTCATCTTGGACCAGTCCTTCGCGCTGCCGCTGCTGCTGCCAGCACCTGTGGCCGCATGAGCCTCCAGCCGCGCCACCAGCTGTGCCTTTCTGCCCTTGGTCTCCAGCCCGGCTGCCGCGCACTCGTCACGCAGCTCGGCGACCTTCATCTTGGACCAGTTCTTTACAGCGCCTGCGGCCGCATGAGCCTCCAGCCGCGCCACCAGCTGTGCCTTCCTGCCCTTGGTCTCCAGCCCGGCTGCCGCGCACTCGTCACGCAGCTCGGCCACCTTCATACTCCCGTAGTCCGCCATCTTCAATGCTTGCTTCTGCTTGTAGAGGGGTGGAATGTCTTCCCCTGCCCGTCGGCCTTCCTTGTCTTCCCCCTCCTCCACCGTGCTCCTTTTCCCCGCCTTTCTTTTCGGGTGCCATTCGCGCGGTCAATTTTTTTTGGGACGAAATGGAAATCAACTCGGCCACTCGCACGCGAGCCAAGGCCATGCATCGTCCGTGCGCCTCGGCTCGCGAACAGCTCGACAGAACCCACGCCCCCTGGTTCAGATCACGGCCGCCGCACATCCGCTACTGAACAACCGAGTCCGGCGTGACAACAAGGAGAGACTCGTCAAACATCCACACGTTGCCGCGCCCGACGATGCTCTCGATGAGGGCTGTGGTGACGCTTGGCGGACCCCATTCGGTCGAGAGCGCAGGGAGCCATGTGTGGTAGACATCGCGGAGGTACGAGGTGTCGTCGAGCGAGAACTGCGGGTGGCGGAGCGCAAGATCCATGGCGGTGATGTGCAGCGCCGGCGGTGTGATCATGGAGACTCGCCGGAGTGGGAGCGTGAGGTAGACGACCCGGCCAAAGTCGATGCCAAGCGCGGCTTCGGCTGCAGGTGTGCTCTCCACAGCACGGAAAACGTCAAACGATGTGCTGTCGACATAGAACGGGGTCTTCTTCCGCTGGCAAAACACAGGCGCAGTGGCAAACGGCTTTCCCCGCCCGCCCATCCTGCACCCGGTGTACCATGTCAGCGCGCGTGCCATGCCTGGCAAGTCGCCGCGCAAATCCGACGGGGAGAGCTTGGCCTCAAACACCCACTCGACAGCGACATGCCGCGCCGCGTCAGGCCCGTCGCCGTCGAGCGCGCCCGTCTCGCGAACAACAACAACGTCAAACTCCATCTTGGATCGCTCCGGAGGTGACTCGCCACGGTACATGGTGGCTGAGATGAGGATGTGCCATCCACAAGTGCCCGGGACGATGCCAAGCGCGGCTCTGCGCGACGGGATCCAAGAGGCCACAAACTCAGCACACCATGCTTCGAAGCGATGCCCCGTCCGGCCGTGAGACGACTTGGCGCGGTGGATGGCCTTGACGGCCGCGTCGAGCGGTCCGAGCTGAGTTGACCGCAGCAGCGAGTCGCGCGCCTTTTCCAGCGCACCAACCACCCAAACCATGGGATGGTCGCGGTGCTCGCTGATGGCAGCGAGGACGTGGACCAGCTCGCGGCGGCGCGCCTCGATGACTTGGTCGGGCAACGTCGGCACGCCCAGCGCGTTTTGCAGCCGCTTCTTTCGCCCTTTCAGCCACTCGATGGACGTCGCATCCTCCAATCGCTTCTTGGCTTCCTCGATCTGTTCCTCAATCTCAGCAATCTGGCCGCCGTACTCTGCTTCGACTGCCGCCCGCTTCCGCTTCATCTCAAAGGTGACGCGATCCTCGTCAGATGCCAGCATCCACGCCTGCCGCACATACCGGCCGGCCGATTCTTCAAACGACTCTGCACTCTCGAGATCAAACTCGATGTCGTCCACCCGCAGCTCGTCCACCTGCATCACATCCGCCAGCTCCAGCACCTCCTTGCCCACCTCAGGTATCGCTGCCGCGCCTGACGCCAGCGCGCTTGTCCCCGACAGCCCACCCCACACCCGCAGCGCGCCACTTCCGCCCGCATCCACCTTCCCCTCTTGCCCCTCGCCGCATGGGTCGGCTGACATGACTTGTGGCGAGAAGAGGTTCCCCCTGTCGCTCTCCACCGCGTGGCCCAGGCAACGCGCCCGAGTTGCCATCGCATGCCAAGTCGCACATCCGGGGCGAGCACGGAGGCCACAGGCCGAGACATGGCTGCTAGCCGTCGACTGTGGTCAACCACCCCACCACGACACTTCCTACATACACATAGTCCCCACATACACTCCATCTGCCACTTTCCTGCCGCCGATCCCCTGCCGCCCTGCCGCCCAAGCTCCCCCCCCCCCCCCCCCCCCCCCCCCCCGGCCCATGCGCACTCCCAACTGTCACCCCCCCTCCCCCCTCTCCCTCCCCCTTCCCGCTCGGCCCACCACCGCTCTCCCCACCACCCACATACCCCCCCCCCCCTCTCTTCCTCGTTCTCCACCTATGGGTCGCGGAGAGTATGCAGAACTTCATGCTGCTGTGCGGGAGGGTGAGACTGGGCAGGCGGAGCTGGCCAAGGTCGAGTTGCTGGACGAGTTGCTGGTCGGGGACAACGACGGGCGGAACGTGCTGATGGTCGCTGCTGCATCGGGTCACCCTGCTATGGTTGCGGCTGTGCTGGCGACTGCATCGCGAACTGCTGGTGATGGTGGCATGGATGCCGTGGTCAAGACTCTTGCTGATGCTCGGGATCATGCCGGGAATGACGTCTTTATGTGGGCAACAACTGCGAGACCGCATGCCAGGGTTGTCGAGTTGGTGGCGCTCTTGTCGGAGCTCCTGCCGCTGCCAGAGACTCTCCCGCACTGGGCGGCCATGTCGGGCAATGCTCCGCTGATGGCTTTTCTCAGTGATCGCTCGGGCGTCTCTGCCATCTGTGACTCGCTTGATGTCCACGGTCGAACTCCGCTCCACTATGCTGCTTTGCACAACGCCGCCGATGTAGTGGCGCTGGTGCTTGATGCCGGCGCAGATTCTGCCACCCGCGATGCCGACGGCTGCACACCGCTGCATCTTGCTGCTGCTGGCGGTGCGGCGGCGGCAGCGGCGGTTGTTCTGGCGAGCCTCGACGAGCTGGCCGCTCGGGAGGCTGTCGCTGCCAAGGACGTCCGCGGCGCACTGCCGCTGCATCTGGCGGCGTTTGGTGGTGACGGTGCGGCGGCAACAGCCGGCACGCTGGTTGCTGCCGGCTCTCCGGTCGATGCCAAGGATAGCGAGGGCCGGACGCCACTGATGTGGGCCGCACGCGAGGCCAACCCGGCGCTGGTCGGGGTGCTCCTTGCGCACGCGGCTTCGCCGTTTGCCACCGATGTCGAGGCCAACTCGGTTGCGTTCTACGCTGTAGTCTCCAACTCGCTTGCTACCTTGGCGCCCATTCTGGGCGCGGCCCTTCGGTTGTCCACGCCAATCCGCTGCCGGATGCGTTCTCGTGTGGCCCGCTGCTGTATATTGCGGTGGAAAACGGTGCCGAGGCCCCAATGCTCCGGGCGCTACTGGACGCAGGCGCCTCGCCAGTGGTGCAGGACGCCAACATGCGGCAGCCGATTCATCTTGCAGCTGCGACCAACAACGTGTCGGCGCTCGCCGAGCTGCTCTCCTCGGGCGCGCATGCTGATGCCGCCGACGCCGTCGGCTCCTCACCGCTGCACTGCGCCGCGTTTGCCGGTGCTGGTGCTGCTGTTGCGGCACTGCTTGCCGCCACACCGCCGGCCGACGTCAACTCGATTGACACCTCCAAGCACACGCCGCTGCACTGGGCGGCACATGCGGGCTCGGGCGCGTGCATCGCGCGACTTGTGCGAGCTGGTGCTGACGTAACAAGCATCGACAACGACGCCATGCGGGCGTACGACCACGCTCTACTTGCCCCGATGGACGACTCGACCCGTGCGGCGGTTCTTGGCGTACTTGATCCGGTTACGCCCGCGGCCAGGCGCCATCTGCTACTCGACGAGCTTGATCGTCGTCCTCCGTCGCCGGAGCGCCGCCCGCGCGAGTCCGCGTCCAAGAAGCGCCGCCGCCGCCGCAAAAGCACAGCGCCAGCTTGGAGCGGCTTGCCGACGCTGAGAGTGTGAGTGCTACCGCTGCTGCACTGCCAGCTGTAGACCCGACGGCGGATCCCAACTTGGTTCTGGTTGATGGGCGCTGGCGGCGCCGGCGGTCGCACCGTCGACGCAAGAGCCAAAAGACATCTGCCTCTGAGCCGGAACACGACTTTGACCCGCTGCTAGTCAGCACCCGGCCTTCACGCAAGCGGCACCGTCATCGCTCTCGAAAGCCTCAGCCCAAGCCCGAGCCTGAGCCCGAGCCACAACCCGAGCCACAACCCGAGCCACAACCCGAGCCTGAGCATGACGAGAGTAACGACGGCCGCTCTGTCTATGATGACCGTGCCTCCCACAAGCGCCGCCGCCGCCGCCACTCTCGCAAGCCGTCTCGCAAGCTCGAGTCTGATCCCGAGCCCGAGCCACAACCCGAGCCACAACCCGAGCCCGAGGACAACGCAAGCCACGACAACCGCTCTGCCTATGATGACCCTGCCTCCCACAAGCGCCGCCGCCGCCGCCGCCACTCTCGCAAGCCGTCTCGCAAGCCCGAGTCTGAACCCGAGCCCAAGGCCGAGCACGAGCACAAGCCCGAGCATGAGCACGAGCCAGAACCTCAACCCGATCCCGGGTACAACGCAAGCCGCAATGGTCGCTCTGCCGATGATGCCCTCGCCTCCCGCAAGCCCCGCCGCCGCCGCCGCCACTCTCACAAGCCCTCTCCCGAGCCCGAGCCCTCCCCCTCTCCCGAGCCCGAGCCTGACCACAGCGCAAGTCACGACGGCCACTCTGCCTATGATGCGCCCTCCCACAAGCGCCGCCGCCGCCGCCGCCACTCTCACAAGCCCTCTCCCGAGCCCGAGCCCGTCCCCGACCACAGCGCAAGCTACGACGGCTGCCCCACAGATGGTGATCTCACCTCCCACAAGCGCCGCCGCCGCCGCCGCCACTCCCGCAAGCCCTCTCCCGAGCTCGACCCACCAACCATCACCTCTCCCAATGTCAACCACCGCGAACGGACACTCGAGTCGCGACTCCGCATGCACGAGCTGCACACTGTCCAGACGCTGGCCGCGCTCGAGTCGCTCAAGGCCGAGGTCGGCGCACTGTCGCGCGAGCACGCCCGCCTCCGCGGCGACGCCGAGACGCTGGCGGTAATGGCCAAGTCGGACATCGAGGCTGTCACCGCCTCTATCGTCGCTGCGTTGCTCCTGCCCGAGTCGGACGCGCAGACCTCTGCCGCCGATGCCGAACTTCCACTGCCGCGCCAGCTCGGCTCCCGCATCGGCGCAGACGTCGTGCTCCTCGCCCGCGCCGAGCTTCCGGACTTTCTGCTCGATGCGGCAGCGGCGACTGCAGTGTGGCGCGGGACAACGCTATCGTGTGCAGCCCTCCTTCCGCCGGGCACGCCGCAGGTGGCGGTATATCCAGCGGTCGAGACGAGCATCCGCAGCGCGCTTACCGGCCGTGCTGTCGGTGTGGTTGTCTTTGGCGGGCCGGCCGCCGGCAAGTCGTTTGCCCTCCACGGCGTGGTCGGCCAGCGTGGCCTCGTCTTCCGCGCCCTCCAAGATCTGGTCTGGGCCGGAGACGAGCTCGAGCTCGAGGGCTTCCAGCTCTCGCTAGCGCTCCGCATCGGCAGCAGCCCGCCAACGCCGGTGGCCTCGGCCACGGAAGCGGTGTACACGCTCGACGCTGCACCGGCAAGTATCGTCACCGTCGACGTTGTGGTCCACGCCACTGCCGGCGCGCCCGATCCGGATGCTGAGCCGCGCCACGGCTCGGTCCGCTTTGTCGAGCTCAGCCACGAGCTGCTTGCCGATCCGGTCTCTGCCGCCGAGCGCCTCGAGGAGGAGGCCGCCGCCCACGACGTCACCACCGTCCTCGCCGTCGTTTCGCCGGACGCTGACGTCGCCGCCGCCACGCTAGCCGCCCTCACCCAAACATGATACGACACCGCACCTCCTGTCTTTACTCTACTCCCACACCACAAGCCCGCCGTCGCGCGAGAGCGAGGCCAGCGACCGCCCGCTCGGCCGCCAGGCGACGCACGCCACCGCAGCCGTGTGCCCGCCCTCGAGCACAGTGGTGAGTGCGCCCGACGCCGCGTTCCACACGTACACCTCGCCAGACGCAGAGCCTGCGGCCACAAACGCGCCGTCCGGCGAGAACGTCGCCCGCGCGTAGTTGAGTCCGGTCGAAAAGCCCTGCGCCTCGTAGGTCATAGCCACCTGGTGGGTCCGGGTGTCAAAGAGAGTGAGGCAGTTATCGCGCGAGTTGATGAGCAGCGAGTCGCCGTCGGGCGAGTACTCGACGCACGTCACCTGCTTCGACGCCGCGCCCTTGATCATGTGCGAGACGTCGCCGGACCGGGTGTCCCAGAACGCCACCGTCCCGTTGTGGTGGCCCGACGCGACCACGCCCGAGTCAATCGAGACCGACACATCGTTGCACGACGAGTAGCACATGATGGTCCGCGAGCAGTACCCACGCGCGAGGTCCCACACCTTGAGCGTTCGGTCGTGCGAGCCCGAGACCGCAAGCGAGCCGTCGGTCGAAAAGTCAGCCGCGTAGATCTTGGCCGTGTGGCCCGTGAGCGTGTGCCGCGGCCGCTGCGTCGCCACGTCAAAGACCCGGATCGACTCGTCAGCCGACGCGCCGAGTACAAACTCTCCCGTCGGCGAGAACCGCGTGCAGTAGACCGCCGCCGAGTAGCCGCGGAGCGAGAACTGGTGCTCACCAGACCGCGCATCAAAGAGCTTGATGGCCTTGTCCGACCCGCCAGTCGCGAGCATGTCCGAGTTGGGCGCGTATCCAACAGAGTGACCCTCGCCCCCATGCGCTGCCACGGTCCGCCGCGCCCGCGTGGGGACCACAACAAAGCCCGACCCGCTGTACGCCCCGCTTGACGACGACGCTCCGGCCATCGCGTCCAGCAGCGACTCGCCCGAGCCCGACATGTCGACCGTTCCGGTCACGTTGCTCACCGCTGCTGCCTGCAACTCGAGCGACTCGCGCTGGCTCACCATCGACTGGTAGAACATGTTCGCCTCGTTGAGCTTCTCGGCGTCCTCGGCGGCCTTCTGCAGCCACCGCGAGACAAGCTCCTCGTTCTCCTCCTTCAGCTTCGAGTTCGCCTCCTCCACTCGGATCAGCTCCATCTGCAGCAGCCTCAGCTCGTCGCCGAGTGCCATCGACGTCACGTCCGACGTCTCCTTCTCGCGCGCCATGCGCTCGAGCTGCGCTTCCAGCTCGCAAATCCGCGCCTTGGCCGCTTCCAGCTCGCTCTCCTTCCCAGCGAGGCCCTCCTCAGCCGCCCGCAGCGCCTGCTGCGTGTTCAGTAGCTCCTTGTACCGATCGTTGAGCTCTGCGTTGAGCTCGTTGGCCTTGGCCTGCAGCTGCGCCACCGCCATCGCGTCGCCCGCCGAGCTTGATCCATTAAGCCCGCCTGTCGCGCTCCCCGAGCTTGCCCCGCCGCCCCCCATCCCTCCGCTCGGTGTCCCTGCCGGCGACCCACTCCCTGCGTTTCGCAGCATGTGCTCCAGCTGTGCATTCCGCGTCCGCATCCTCTCCATCTGTGCCACCAGCACCGAGTCTATTCTCCCGTGAAGCCGCCACACCCAAGCCAACCACACCCAAGCCAACCACACCCAGCCAACCACACACAGCCAACCACCACACCGACACATACCTATGAGTACAGAACCTCTCACACACACCCACCACCCCCCCCCTTCCCCCCCTTTCCCCGCCCCCATACCCCTACCCCCCCCACCCACCCCTACACCCCCCCTTCCCTCTCCCCGCACCCTCCCGCCTCCCTTTCACATCTCCACATACGCCGATGAATGAGAGGCGCCCACCGTGCAGACTGCCGAGCATCCCGCTCCTGCAACAAGCCCACCACCGCTGTTAGCGAAGCCATGGTATCCACACCCAAGCCAAGTGTACCCCTCTCCCCCTCCCTCCCCTCTCCCCTCCCTTGATCAAACCTGACACACAACCCGCACACGCCACTCTCTGCTTTCCCTCGGCCGGACCAACCACGACCTTTTTTGGGGGCGATGCCCACCCCGACCACCCGCAAGCGCAAGCAGCCACCACGCGAGGCACCACCACCACCATCCCACACCAAATGGATGATCCCTACCACCACTACCACCGTCACCGACCCCATCACATCACCGCCGTCCCCCAAGCGGCACCACCCCCTCGCCATGGCCACACCGTTCTCGTCGCTCTCCCAGCCGCTGCTCCTTGCCGACCCCATTCTCGAGACTCACTCTCCACAGCCTACGGTTCTTGTCGATGACTCGGCAACCATCGCCGGCTCTGTCTCGACCACAATCTCGCATCCGGCCACAACCTCCATCACCGACACCTTTGCCGGCCTCACCCAGTTCTCCTTTCCTTCCTTCCACCTCCTCCCGGACCCGTCCTCGCCACCATCGTCTCGCCCTCCCTCGCGCCTCGATCTCGACTCGGACGACGACGCCATTGAGTCCATCTCCTCCTCGCCCTCCTCGCCCGCCGATCCGCCTTTATCGTCACCGTGCACTGAGCTCCACCCCGACCATCCCCTCACTCCGCTCGCCGCCCTCGCGTCTCCGGCGGCTCCCCTTGCGTCCACTGTCAACGTACGCGGGGTTGTCGTCGCCGTCTCGGGCGTCATCGAGACCACCACCCGCCGCGCCACCGTCCATCGTGCCACCGTCTCGCTCGTCGACGCCTCCACGGCCTTACGCCCCACCCGCGTCACTCTCTGGGGCCGTGCGGCCTCCTGGGTCTACATCCTCCCGCGCGGCGCCGCAGCCCGCTTCAAGGCCCTCGTCGTCGGCGAGTGGCGCGGCGTGCCCACCCTCGCCACACGCGCTCCATCCTCGGCCGTCACCGTTCTCCCGCTCGCCATTCATGCCACAGCCCCGTGGATGGCCGACCTTCACTGGCTCTCGCGCCCGTTCCTTGCGACCCCGCTCCTCGCCCACCTCCAGCTCGACACCCTCGTCCACCTCGACGCCATCCGCGTCGTCCGACTCGTCAATGCATCACCGTCCTCCCTCCTCCGCGTCCTAGTCATCGACGGCTCGGTGAATGCCGACGGTGCCCTCGCCACCGCCTGGCTCACCGTCGCTCATCCCTCCCTCGCTCCGCTCCTCGTTCCCGGCGCCATCGTCGCCGCCTCCTGCTGTGCCGTCACTTGGTCGCGGTCCGCAGCATGGTCCGCCGCCGCGCCGTCCCTCTCTACCACCGCCCACACCTCCATCATCCCTGCCACACCATCTTCTGCCGCCGCCGCCGCTTCCCGACTCGCTGCCGCCTTTTCTCCCTCGCTCCGCCAAGACGCGCCTCTCTGCCGGAACTCGGACACCGTCATCACCAGCGTCACCGCCCTCGCCGCATCTCTCGCCGCTGCCCCGCGCGTCACCAGCTATACTCTCATCGCCACAGTCTCCTCCATCGCCGTCGTCCCTCCGCACAGCGCTCACGATGCCCCGCCGCTCACCCTCGACGACGCCCTTGCCCGCCACCTCGTCACCGAGCGTGTGTGTGCTGGCTGCGGCGTCGCCGTCGTCGCTGACGACAACGCCGTCGTCTCCTGTCCGCTCGGCTGCGTCTTCACCGCCGCAGCCACAACTCCGCTCACCCGCCTCCAGTACCGCCCCATCATCATCAACCTCGCGCCCACCATCTCCTTCCTCCTCTCCTCGCCGCTCCTCATCGAGAAGCTCTTCGGCTGGATCCCACCGCACGAACCGGCCCTCGCCGTCCTCCTCCCGCCGCTTGCCGATGCCCTCACCAGCTCGCCGCTCCGCTTCACACTCGCCCGCTCCTCCTCGCTCCTTCGCATCGTCGACCTCGCCATTCCGTGACCGTTTTGCTTTACTCGCGAAGGAAGACCGCGAGGCCGGCGAGCACAAACTCCGACACCTCGCCGCCCTCCACCTCCACGCCAACCTCCACCACCATCTTGTCGCGGCTGCCGTCCTCGTACAGCGGCACGCCCGCAATCCGCGCCCGCCACTCGGCGGCCTCGGCCTCGGGCACCCACGCCATGTACAACGAGCCGAGCGCCGCAAACGACGGTGTCGTGGCATCTGCAAGCCGCACCCCGCGCCCGCCCGAGTAGCTTCCGCCCTGCAGCAGGAGTCCGCCCACGCGAATCGTGCCGACCCACTGCTGCTGCCGGACAGACGAGACCAGCGCAAGGCTGTCCATAGCCACCCCGAGCTTGCGCGCGCTCTCCTGCCGCACCGCGTTAAGGAACGTGCCCGGCCGGAAGAGCTCGGAGAGCACAAGCTCATCCTGCAGCAGCGTCTCCAGCGACGCCCGCGCACGGCTCCGCCACTCGCTCACCGCAACCGTCCGTCGCACAACCTCGCCCAGCCACGCCCCAAGCTCCAGCGGGCCCTCCCACCGTGCAAACCACGGTTCGGGCACGCTCCCCGAGAGCAGCGAGCCCTCCACGAGCTCCACAATCGCAGGACTCACAAGCCGCCGCTCCTCAAGCACCTCCACAACCTCGCCAAGCACGCCGTCCACGAGCTCCACAAGCTCCATCGCCTGCACAAACTCGAGCTCTAGGAACGCCGCCACAGGCGACCGCCCGCTGCTGCCGCTCCCGCCTCCGGCCACAAGGTCAAGCACGCCCGACGAGCTCGTCGCGCCCGCCCACTGCTGCAGTACAGCCTCGAGGCCCTTGGCCCACCTCACCCGGTCAAAGCCCGAGCTGCTGCCCTGGCTCGTCCCGAGCGCCTTGAGCTGCGCAATCACCTCGGCGCTCCGCGCCTGCTCCACCGCGCGCGAGATGTTGGCCGGCAAGCCAAACACGCCTGGCTCGTCCGCCTCAGGCAGCCGCGCCACAGCCTCTCGCGCCTCGGCCAAACTTCCGCTCGCTGGCATCCGCATTCCGGGCACTAGCTCGCCGCCACCGCGCCCGGAAATCACTCCGCCGTTGAACATCTTACCGAGATACGTCACAAGCACGCGCATGTCAAACTCGTTGTCGACACGCCCGCCGTAGATCGCGTTCTCAAACAGGCCCACAACCTTGTCCCACTGCACCTCGCCCGGGCCCTTCCCGCTCACCTCGGCAGTCACCACGCTCGCGCCCACACGAAGATCCGCCTCGGAGAACTCGTAGAACTTGGACCAGCCCTGCGGCATGTACGACCGCCGCTCTTGCACCAGCGAGTGAAAGACCGCGAGTGCAAACCGCGCCTGCCCGCAGCTCCCGCCCTCCTCGCCTGCCCCAAGTACGGCCTCCACGCTCCGCGCGAGGTTCCGCTTCAGCCCAGGCGGCGCTTCCACCGTCATCTTCACGCACCGTGCAGCAAGGCTGGCAGGGAATCCAGCATGTGCCTCCGTCGTCAGCCAGAGCTTGAACTCGCGGTGCACCTCGCCACTCGCAAGCCCAGACAGCTCCTTATTGAGCTCTGCAACCCACGGGAGAACAAGGTGCAGGTTCTTGAGCGTCACCCACCCGCCGCTCTTGGCACACTCGCGCACAAGCTGCAACGCTGCCTCACCCTGGCCCTGGCCCATCGCAAGTTGAAAGTACCGCCGCGCGCCCACAACCTCGCCCGCAAGCGCCTCGAGCTCTACAGATGGGTCTGCACCCGCAGTCGCAACAAGCAGCGCAGGTCGCAGCCCGCCCACACGCTCCGCCACGCTCCGCAGCTCCACATCGCTCGACCCAAGGCTCAGCACAGAGTCAACAAATGCCCGCATCCCCGTCAGCAGCCGGTCCGGCCGGAACACAAGCAGCAGCAGCAGCTTCTGCACCCACGACAGCCCGGCACGCGCCACAACCTCGGGCCACCGTGCCTCGGCCTCCGTCGTCGCATTCCACGGCGACCACATCGCGCTCTCGCTCAGCTCCGCAGCGCTCACAAGGCTTGGCACCCTCGCCCGCAGCGCCGCAAAGTGGCTCGCCCGCTTCGCCGGCACCCACGACGGCACAGGTCCGCTCCCGCTCCCGCCCATGCCCGTCCCGCCAGACACAAGGAGCTCCCACTCGCCCTCCAGGAAGAGCTCCGGTCGCAGCCCGTGGACCAAATGCAGCTCAAATCCGAGCCGGTCCTCTTTGAACAACGACGCCGACACATACTTGTGCACAAGCCGCAGCAGCGTGCTCTGCAGCCGCAGTAGCCGCCCGTCGATCCCAGCCCCCGCTCCGCCAGACACCTCGGCGCCAAGCGCCTCGTGGAAGAGCTCCACAAACGAGCCCAGCGAGAACGCGTACATCGCGTTGAGCTTCTCCAGCCCGGCAACGAGAAAGTACAGCTGAGACCCGGTCCGCGCAATCGGAACGTACGCCTCGCGCTGCTCGTCGAGAACAGCTTGGTTCGCCCGACTCTGCGCAAGCGCATCTGCAATCACCTTACTCTTTCGCTTCGTCTCATTGAGAGACGCCACAAGCTCCTGGTTCTCCAGCAAGTCACCCGAAGACGTCGCAAGCGTTTCCAGCAGCGACTTTTCCAGCTCGGCAAGCTCCACCTTTTGCTCCTCCTCTTCTCGAAGCAGCGCAGACTTTTGCTCTTCCAGCTGCGGCTGCTCGTGCCGGAGCGTGTAGCCCAGCAGCTGCGACTCGAGGCCCGACGCCGTAACAGAAAAGTTGACCTCCGTCACAAGCGCCGCCACGTCCGGGTGCACCCGCAGGTGCGCGTCACGCGAGGTCACAAACAGCTCAAACTCCGGATTGTAGTCCACAACCTTCTCGCCGAGCTGCACCACAGACCGCGTTCCCTGCAAACGGAGATCGCGCCGTAGCAGCGGCAGCAGCATTTCGTCGATACTGTCCACGTTCTCCAGCACCACTGTCTTGCCAAACCGCACGCCTAGCTCGAGCTTGGTGTTCAGCCGCGGGTCCGAAGACGCAATCACTTCCACAACCCGCCCGCTCCGCGACCCGCCGCTCTGCCCGTCGTCAGATCCGTCGTCGTCGTCGTCGTCGCTCTTGCCGTCGTCGCCACCTCGTTTCTTCTCGCCTCCGCCTCCGCCTTCGCTCAGCCACGACTTGAGCCACGCAACCGCAGCTCCGCCCGGATCAATCACCACCCGTGGCGCCTCGCTCTCCAGAATCACCACCGCGTTTTCCACGCTCAGCGAGTCCGACGGCAGCCCCGCCGCCTTCCACCGCAGCAGCTCCGCTTCCGACGCGAGGAAGCTCTCCACACGCCATCCACGTGGAAGTCGAGCAAGCTCGCTCCACGTCTGCAGCACACGCGCCCGCTCGCCCTCGGCCTGTCCGCCGAGGTATACCAGAAAGCCCGCCGCAAGCACAGCCTCGCGCGGCATCGCCGCCTCGGCCTCTGTGTACTCGCCCAGCTGACGCTCCCAACGCTCGCGCTCTCCGCCCAGCTGCGACAACAGCTTGTCCGCCGACGCCTTCTTCACCTGCACGCCCTCCAGCGAATTCTGCAGCTTCTCGGCATCGCGCGTCCGCTTCTTGAACTCCTTCTTGAGCTTGGCAACTCGCGCGTCGAGCTCTTCCAGCTCGCCCTGCAGTCGCGCCACCCGTCGGGCAGACTTGTCCAGCGATGCCTCCAGCGACGCCTGCGCGTCCATCAGCGGCCGGATCTGCTTCACAACACGCGCGTACTCGAGCTGCGCCAGCACCCACGCCGCAAGCGGCGCAATCGTCCGGCTTGCCCGCGTGATCGTCGACGCCTCGAACGAGTTGGCATACTTGTCCACAAGCCCTCCAGCTTGCTGATCTTCCGCTCAGAGAGCGACTGCACAGAAAACGAGAGCACCTCCTCCACAAGCCCCTTGCGCCCAAGGAACGCACGCATCGCGTTCCACGACGTGTCTTCCGACCCCATCATCTGCAGCACAACAGTAAGCACGTCGCGCACCGCAGTCGGCGGATTCGGCATCGTCCGCGCCTCTGTCAGCGACTTGCGGTCCAGCGAGCCCACAGCCGCCGCGGCAGACTCGAGCATCGGCTGCACCTGCGCCGTCTCTGCGTCGATCTTGGCCTTCTCCCGTGTCAGCTGCTCCTCCTCCACAGCAAGCCGCTCTTCCAGCCGCTCCATCTCCGCCCGCTGGCTTGACGCGTCCTCCACAGCCTTGGTAATCGCGCTCAGCGCTGCATCCGCTTTCGCCTCCTTCTCCGCAAGCAGCACTTCTTGCTCCGCAGCCTCGGCGCCAAGCTCGTCCACAACCTTGGCCGCCTCCGCAAGCTTCGACAGCCCAGCACGGAGATGGCCCGTCTGCGACTCTTGCGCCTTTCGCTTCTTCGCCAGCACCTTGGCGTACGTGTGGAGGAGGAGCGTAAACTTGCGCGGTGGCGGCTTGCCAGGCGCGCTGCTGTGCACTCCGCGCAGCAACTTGAGCACCTCGTCGCGGTCCTCCATTTTGCCCACCACCTTCTTGAGCAGCACACGCGGGAGCCGCTTCAGCGAGTCCTTTGTCCACGCAGCGCTCCACACAACCTGCGCACTCGCAAACAGCGCAGGATTCGACTCGGTCTGCGCGCCAAACGCTTCGGCGCTCGGATCCATGACAAGCGCCACGTGCACATTCGCCCGCACTCGCGACACAAAAAGCTCGCCTACGCTCCCGTACCAGCCTATTTCCGCCACCACCGGCCGCAGCGGCGCAAGGAGCCCATCGAGCTCCTCGGGCGTGAACAGGCCCGGCACCTCGCCGCAGCCTAGAAGCGCGTTGAGCGCCTCGAGCACCTCGGCCGAAAATACCTGCGAGTCGCGCACAACCACAAGCACGCCAGTCCCCTCCACACCGCCCTTCAACAGTACGCCCTTGAGCCAGTTACGGAACTCCTTGATCGACGGCGGCCGCGACACGCTCATCACCGCAATCTCGTACGAGTGCATGTGTGCCACAACCTTGAGCAGCGACGACTTACCCGTCCCGGGTGCGCCCACAGCAAGCACATGCCCGCTTCCGTCTTTTGCGGACAGCACACGGTCGTAGCTCGCCGCCAATGCAAGCATCTGGGGGAAAATCTTGAGCTTGAGCTCCTGCCAGTCCCGTTCAAACACCTTGATGCCTCCCTGCACAACCTTGGCAAAGCCTTCCAGCGCCATCAGCCCTAGCTTGCCCTCGCCGTCGGCCGTCGGTGACCAGCTAGTGTACACAGACCGACCGCGCTCCGCAGGTGCATAGTTGAACGACGCACGAAAGACAGAGCCCAAAATCGCGTCAAACCGTGCGCAGGCACGCTCGTCAACAAGCCGCTCGCCAAACCGCGCCCGCGCCTCTGCCACAACCACGTCCAGCACGCCTTCAAAGCCCTCGTCGCTTCCCACAGAGTACCGCAGGAGCGAGCTCACCCACCCCAGCAGCTCGCGCGGCGTAAAAAGGTAGTGACGCGCCTCATCCACGGTAAACTTGGCCCGAACCTGGTTGTACACTTGGACCAGCGCAGCCGCTAGCGCGCTCGCGCGCCCGGCCCCGGCTCCGCCGCCAAGCGCACCGAGCACAGGCTCGACGTACGCCTCTGCCACTGCGCTCAGCTCGTCGCTGCTCCCGTAGTCGATTCGGATCGTCGCTACCAACGACGACAGCCGCGGAGAGAGCGCGTACCGCCCCAGCGTCGTCGCCGGGTTCATCGATCCAGCAAACACCACGCCCTCGAGCGCAACCCACTCGAGCTCGCTCGAGTAAAACCCACCATATGTGAGGAGCTGATGCAGAAGCGCCCCAAGCTCAGACGTCTCGTACTCGTCGGGCGTCGCCATGTTGAGGTTCTTGAGGTACACCGTGAGCAGTCGCCCGCCCTTGGGCCGCAGCACCCGGCCTTTGTTCGAGTTCACCGCAATGCAGCTCTCATACAGCTTGCGAATCACGTCAGACGCCCGCGTCTGCGACGAGCAGTGCACAGACGCCACCCGACCGCCGCCGAGCCGCGCAAACGCAGCTCGGAGCACAAGCTCCTTGCCTGCTCCGGGAGGTCCCTCCACAACTACCGGCATTCCGGCCTCGAGCAGCGGCACCACGGCTCCGAGCACAGACTGCACACCCACCGTCTCCACGAGCACGCCGCGGGAGACATCGTCCACGCTCAGCGACGGCGCCACATATCCGTAGCTCCGCACGTTCCGCGACCGCTCGTCGTAGTACACCGCACCGGCCTCGCGCGACGCCACCCCACGCACCCCAAGCGCAGCAAGGACCGCCTTGGCCGTCGATGCCTTGGCCCCAGACGCAGCCGCGCCGGCAAGCGCACGCACCGCAGCCACAGCGAACGCCTCCTTGCTCAGCTCGCTGCCCGCTCCAGCCTGCTCCAGCAGCGCAAACAGCGTCCGCAGCACCCCGAGCTCAGCACCCTCCAGCAGCGAGCCCAGCTCGCCCATCCACGCCCGCGCGCTGCTGCTCGCCTCGCTCCGGCTCGCCCAGCCTGCGACAAGCGTCTCCGCGCTCAGCTCGGCCTCGGACAGGAAAATCATGCCCATCCGCGAGATTGTCGCCGGCGACGCGTAGCTCAGGTCGTGCGTCTCAAACACAAAGTTGACGTTGCTCCCAAACTGAATCCGCTCGCCGTTTGGCATCGTCAGCAGCCGGTTGTCGTCGAGCACAGAGTTGAGCGACTCAATCCACTTGGGGTCCACATCGCCGTCGCACACAATCCACGACCGCACCCGGGCCGGTCGCGCTACAACCTCACGTGCCGCTGCCGTCAGCACACCATCGGCCCATTCGCGCGTGTCCAAATCCAGCGAGCCAAGCAGCTGCTGCCGCGGCAGCGCCTTGGGGTTCATCACCTGAGTCACCACACTTCCGCGCCCGCCCAGCCGGTTGAGCGCCCCGGCGAGGACCTGCCACAGCGTCGACTTGCCAGACCCGGACGGCCCCACAATCACAACCCCCATCCGCTGGTTCGTCGCCTCGTACAGCTGCAGCAGCTTCGTCATCTGCCGCTCCACAACCACCAGTCGTCGCTCGCTCAGCTCCTCGGCAAGCGCGCTCTCCAGTTCCGCGTACGAAATCGCCTCGGTCGTCACTCCCGGGAACAGATCGCCCACGAGGCCCTCAAAGAGCACAGAGTCGGCATACGTCAGCTTACTCAGAGTGTTCGACCGCAGCGCCTTCACCAGTAGCGCTGTCTCCTCCTCGCCGCTCAGCTCGGCGCTCGCCCCGGCCGCCCGGCGCGCGTTCCGCTCACGGCCCAGCAGGCTCCCGCCAAGCGAGAGCACCGCCTTGAGCGCACGGAGACCCCAGTCGTAGTGCTGCTGCTTCGAGAGCAGCTGTGCGTTGAGCCCGTACATCGAGACCAGCTTCTTCGCGAGGCCCTTGGCCCCACTAAAGCCCTCGGCGTAGAGAATAACCTCCGCAATGAGCTCCAGGTCTGGCTTGGACATCGCCACAGGTCGGAACAGCTGCTTGAGGTTGTCCGGAAGCTTCGACCGTCCGCCGTAGCCCTTGCCTGCGGGATTCATCGTCACAAAAATGCCCGAGTTGGCGTCGAGCTCCACAGTCTTGCCCAGCAGCGAAATGCTGCTAGCCCGAGCTTTGATCCCACTCTGGATCGTCTGGATTTGCTGCGAGACCGCAGAGAGAACCACCTCGTCGAGGCGGTTGAACTCGTCAAAGCAGCCCCACGCCCCACACTTGACCAGCCCCGTGAAGATGCGTCCCATCGACTTAAAATCGATGCCCTCATCGCAATTGAAAACAAGGACCTGTCGCCCGAGCGAAGCGCCCAGCGCTTTGATCGACTCGGTCTTGCCGGTTCCGGCCGGTCCATACGGATTGCCGCCGTAGCCCAGTGCCATGCCCTGTGTCAGAGTCAGGTAGCACTTGTCCGTCAACGCTGTGTGGACAAGCTTGGACACATTGCCTTGGTACTCGAACGTGTACTCGAACGCCGCGTCGCCCATCACGCCACGGACTCGACCGAGGCCGTCGTAAACAAATCGCAGCTGCTTGCTCCACTCCCACGACGACGCCCCCAGTCGGAGGCCGCCGCCCTGCCGCGCAGCAAGCAACATCGAGGTCACGTCTGCGTTATGCACGAGCTCCAGTACAAGGTTCTTGATCTTGGCCGAGAGAAGCTTCGACGCCGCACTCGCGTCGAGCTGAGAGTGAATGCCTGTGTACGCCTTGAGCTTGCCGAGGCACACCCGGAGCACTGTCTCCAGCCCGCCCTCGATGCCCTCGCCTCGCCCGCTCAGCACCTTTTCCACGCTTGCGGCGAACCCAATGTTTTCCGCCAGCGAGAGAAGCTGCGACGGGTACCCGTTGAGTGCTGCCACCGAGAGCCCATTCTCGTCGTCCCACGCGCCAGTCCGCAACAGCTCGTCGAGCTGGCTCGCGAGCGCGCTCCGCATCGCCTTCACCAGTCGACTCAGCCACTCCTCAACTTGCGGTGTGAGCGTGAGCGGCGGCTGGAGCGCCACACGCTCGCCCTTGGACGAGTTGATCGACACAATCGAGGTTTTCGACCCGTCAAACGTCACAGACGCCACCCCGGCAAACAGCTTCTTGAGGTGGGACTGGATGACCTCCGGCTTGGTCGACTGGCCCAGAATCTCCAGCAAATCATCGTCGCCGATAAAGTAGAACCGCGGGAACGCCGATCGCTTTGCCTCCAGAAACGCTGCCAGAGCCCGTTGGCTCCGCTCCAGCTGGTCGAGCGTCATCGGCAGCATCTCTTCAAGTCCTGGGTATGCCAGCAGCGAGACCACCCGCGGATCCGCCGCCACAGCCGCAAGCACCGACACAAAGTCATCGTCAATCCGTTTGAACCTTGCAGCCTCGGACGGGAGTGCGCCCTTGGAGAAAATTGGCTCCAAGTACACCCACTTGCGCTGGATCAAGTTCAGCTGCGTTAGCGCAGAGTCGAGCGCGCCCAGCTTGCGCTCCCATCCGTCGATTTGGTTGGCAAACACAGAGTACAGTCGCGAGTCCTTGAGCGACTGCAGCAGCGACTGCTTGTCGCCAACCTCCGTCAGCAAGTCCTTCCACTCGGTGATGAGCGCCACCCCGCGCGTCTCTGACGGTGGCAGGAGCGAGAAGACAGCCTCTGCGCCCCAAGCGTCCATCTCAGCCAGCGCCTGCCGCACGGTCACCTCGGCTTCGGCCCGGTCGTGCAGCGCTTTGAGCTCGCTCGCCCCAGCCTCGATCTTCTCCATCACGCCCAGAAAATGGCCAAACGTCAGCTGTGAGCCCTTGAGCCCGCGCGGAAGGCCCACAATCCGGAACAGCGCTGCCCAGTGCTCGGCCGTAAACGAGTCTCCGCGGCAGTACTTGAGCACAGAGTACACTCGCGAGTACAGCCGCACAGCAGATTGCAGATGCTTGACAATTGGCGAGTTGCCATCGAGCTGTGGCCCTCCAGTCTCGGCCTCGTCGTCGGCCCCCATTCCGGCCCCGAATCCGTCGTCAGACCCGTCATCGTCGCCACCGCCACTGCCGCCGTCCTTGCTCGCTTCGCCGCCCGTGCCAAGAAGCTTCGCCCGCCACTTGGCCACAAACTCCTCAAACACGTACAGCCGTGCTCGGAACGTATACCACTCCACGCTCGCCAGTTCGGAGAGCTCCGCCGACCACGCCGAGAACACATCCCACACCCCGGTCACACCCTCGATCTCGGCCGCGAGACTGTCGAGTGGCTCTAGGTCCGGCGGCGGAAGTGCAAAGTGCTCGCAGTCTGCCCGCAGGCTCGCGCCGCGCGCCACAAGTTCGCCCAGCTCGCCCTTGTACTCGGCCACAACCGTCGCCGCCGCCTCAGCCGCCGCAGGATCCGCCAGCGTGACCGCCGAAGGCTGCGCCTCCGTCCAGTGGCTCGCCAGCTTGGCCGCCTCAGCGTTGAGCTCCTCCTGCCGGCTTTGCAGGTTGTTTTTGAGCGCCGCAGTCTGCGACTCGATGAGCATGCCGTGCGCGTCAAGCCCAATTTCAAACTGCTCCCACGCCGCGTCAAACTCACCAAGCTCGATCCCGCCGCCCACCACATTCCGCAACAGCTTGGACTTGGCAGAGAGCTCGCCGCGGACTTTGAGCATCTCGCGCTTGCGCTTGACAAGTGCCGCCAGTGCACCCTTGGCCTCGCCAATCTCCTGCACAGACTGCGGCCGAGTGCTCAGCACCGCCTTGCCCTCGTCCATGTAGCCACGGAGGAGCTGGAGCTCGTGCGACGACGACTGCTTGAGCGTCGTCACCAGCGCGTCGGCAAACGACCGCATGAATCCGTCGATTGCTGCTTTGACCGGAATGGTCGACACCACCATGCACTCGACCTCGATGCTGTCCGGCAACGCCTTTTCAAACGCCTTGCCGCGGCTCTTGAGCGCCCGAAAGTTGCGCTCCCAGTCGGCGAGCTCGGAAAAGGTCGCCGCAATCCACTTGCGGACGTCGACTCGCCCCAGCGCCACCCACTCCTCAAATGGCGCCTTGGCCGCCTCGAGCTTGCCAAACAGCGCCTCGGCGAGAATGTACACCCGCTCCAGCGCTTGCCCATTCTTGGCAAGTATCGATGAAAAAATGTTCGAGCCCCGGACGCCGACACCCTTGAACTTGTGCGGAATTGAGACAAACTTCTTGAGCGCCGCGTAGTACTGCAGCCGCAGCTCCTCAAACGCCGGCTCAAACGCGAGCGCGCCCTGCTTGTACACCAGCGCCACCTTGATCGGCGGCAGCTGCGCGTTGAGCGTCTCCAGGCCCTCGCGGTACTGGTACTCGAGCGCCTTGTAAAGCTGCTGGTTCCAGTGCGCCACCCACCCGTCCATGCCGGTAAAGCCCTCGGCTTGAAGCGCCGCAATGGCCCCGTTGATCTGCGCTACACCCTCGCGCCACGCCTCACGCTCCGTCAACAGTGACGTGCCCATCAGCCGCAACACCACGGCCACAAGCTCAAAGTGCACGCTCCGGAGCCGCCGGTTAAGATCCATCAGCTTGTTGGCGCTCGCCTGTACACGGTCCACGTACTCGGAGAGCTCGGCCTCGGCCTCCCATGACAGCTTGTCCGAAGCCGATGAGACCAGCGCCTCAAACTCGCGCGAAGCGTCCATCATCATCGGCATCTGCGAGAAAATAATCTCAGAGCCGAGCGAGTTGTAGAACGCCGCCACCTGCCGCAGCACCATGCCGTAGCGGTAGTACTTGGTTCCCACCTCAAACGCGCTCGTCACGCTTTGCGGAACAGGAAGCCCGAGGCCCGAAAGCACCCGCACCTCGCGGAGGAGCGCCACCAGCCGCGGCGAGAACGAGACCACCATCGAGCCGTCGCTCGCAGACAGGCCGAGCACCTTGCCGGTCAGCTCGAGCACAAGCTCCGCTGATTCGACCCCGTGGAGAACGTCGCGAACCCATCCGCCGTGCGCGCCGTGCACAAACTCGGCCGCGCCAGCGGACACGGCCTTGAGTGCACCCACCGCCCGCGCTCCACCCTCCTCGCGCCCACACACCGCAGATCCAATGCTCCGCAAGTGCTCCGCTCGTGCCTCGATGCCCTTGGCCTCCACAATGCTCTCGACAGAGGCGGGCAAGTCGAGTCCAGTCAGCTTGGACGCGCTGCGCGGGCTCGCCTTGAGCCCGCTCAGCTCGCCCTCGAGCTCGGCCGAGAGCTCCAGGAGCGCGCTGGCGACGACGCCGCGGAACGTGGCGAGCGCGCCAAAGACCGTCGGCCGCAGCAATGCATCCAAGTTGCGCTCCACAGCGTGGAGCAGCTGCGCAGGCGACGCCGCGAGCTTGGAGAGCGAGGCCTCCAGCGCGGCCGCCACTGCTCCCTCGAGCGGCACCACCCTCGACGCAAACACCTTGGCCGCCTCAGCAAACGCCGTTGCGCTCGGGTTGGCCACGTTGAGCTCGAGGAGGTAGATGCCGGCAAACGGCGCAAAGAGCGCCCCACGGTCTGCCACTCCCGCAGCCGCAGCCTCGTCGGCCGGCGCAAGCTCCAGCAGCTGCGCCACCGACGCAAGCATCGAACTCAGCTCCGACAGCCGCGCGTGGACTGCAGCCAGGTACTCGGACGAAAACGCCGAGCCACGCCACGGGTGCGCCGCGCCTCGCCACAGCACTCCGGTCAGCCGCTGCGTCGCCACGCTCCAGCTTGAGACCAGTCGCGCCGCGCCCGCAAGCTGCGCCCGCGCCTTGGACGGGTGCATCTTGAACAGCCGCGGCATGCCCCGCGGCTCGGCAGGCTCCGGCGCCGCGCCAATGGCCGCCCCGGCCGCACGCCCCACCGCGTGCGAGACCACCTCCATAAAGTGCGCCATCCGCTCTTGCGGAAACGGTGTCGCAAGGTCCAGGCACCACACCTCGTCGAGCACCTCTTGCAACACGTCCAGAATGTCCATCTGCTCGCCGAGCGACGCCGCGTCGAACCGGGCCACATCGCCGGCCACACGCGCAAACGCCGCCCATACCCGCCCGCCGTCCGAGCTGGCTCCGCCACTGCTCGCTGCACGCTTCCATGTCTTCAGCTCGTCTGCCGGGTTCAAAATCGACGCTTCCAGCGGCGCATCGCCGCCGCCCGCTAACCCGTCCTCGCTCTCGAGGCCGGCGACCCGGAGCGCCACTCCCAGCCGCTTCTGCAGCTGAGCCAGGAGCTTGCCTACCTTGAGGTGCGCCGGGAGCGAGAGCGCGCCAGACTCGGTCGCCTTTGCCAGCAGCGGCAGGACAACTTCCGAGACGTGCGCGTAGACCGCAGGCAGCAGTGCCGCCCCAAAGGTGCTGCACCGGAGCACCTCGCTCGCGTTGCTCGCCGTCACCACCACAGCCTCAGCCTTGGAGACGACCACCACCTTCGCCGTCCCGCTCACCGGCGGATGAGCCTCTACCGCCACCTCGACCACCCGCCCGCCGGCATCAACGTCAACCTGCACAATACCAGCACTTGGCATCGAGACAAACTGCGTAAAAGCAGCTGACGCAGCCAGGCTCTCCGCCACACGCGCCCCATGCTCGCTGCTGCTTCCAACTCTGCCGCCGTCGATCAGCGCTGCCACCACTTGCGCCACCTCCATGTCTCTGCTTCTTTGCTGTCACCTGGCCCCAAGATAGAAGGGCTTAGCAAGGGTTGTACCGGAGGGGAGGACGTGGGAGTCGAGTGTAGCAGCAAGTGTTAGACAAGTGTGCCTCAACCGCCACCCCGCTCGCCATACTCGCCCCGCTCGCCGTGCTCCTTCAACACGGTGGCGCAAACCGGCGCGGGTCAACCCGAAGCCCAAGTCAGCAACATGTTGTTGTTTGATGACAAAAAAAATGGCGCCAACTTTCGCGCGCAAATCTGGGGTTTTACTTAAACACACTCACTCTCGCGTGGTCTACAGGTTCCGCTGCTTCTCGAGCGTCCGCCACTTGTCCTTGAGGTTGACATTGGTGCGGCCAGTAAAGGGAAAGGCGGCGAGGATGGCGGCCCAGTTGCCGTGGCCAAACTGGGCCACGCCCTCGATGAGCCACTTGATCTCGTCGTCGGTCCAGCGTCGGCGCTTGCGGGCCGAGATCGAAGCCTTGGACACGCGGCCCTTGTTCGGCGGCGTGAGCGCGGCAATGGCCTGGCTCTTGGACAAGCGCCTGGGCCGCCGGCTCGGCGTCGACGAGATCTCAATCTTGCGCGACTTGGCCGGCGGGAGCGAGACGCCGTCGTCAACGTCGGAGACCTCGTCGTCCGAATCGGTCCACGCCACCACCACGCCCTTGCTCTTGGCCCGCTCGCTCCTCGCCGGCTTCTTGCTCTTGCTCGAGGCCGTCGCCCGCGGCTTCCGCCGCGAAGGCGTCTCCACCGCACTGCTCGAGTCAGAGTCGGATGAGCTGAACATGTTGGCCACAGCCGTCGCCTTGGCGCCGCTGCGTCGGCGCTTGCGCGTCGCCTGCGCCGGCGAAGCTTCGCTGCTCTTGGCCAGAATGGCATCGAGCGGGTCGTCGACCTTGGACAGCAACGCCGCCGACGCCTTGCCAAGCTGCGAAATCGCTGCCTGGGTCTTCTTGTGCGCGCTGCTCCGCAAGCCCCGCGTCGGTGCCTGCGTCGCCTCGTCGTCGTCGTCGTCGTCGTACGAGCTGCTCTCGTACGAACTCCGCGCGCCCCAGCTCGAGCTCGAGTCCGAGTCGGAAGACATCTCTGCCGCGACCGTCCGCCGTGGCGTGAGCACCAGCCCACGCTCCTCGGCCTCAATCAGCTTCACCAGCTCGGACTCGCCGCCGGCAAGCTCTTCGAGCTCCGCCATCGAAATCACCAGGTCGTCGTCGGCCACCTTGCTCGCCACTGCCTTCTTACCCGTGGTGCCGCTCTTGCCCTTGGACGTCTTACCCTTGGACGTCTTGTTCTTCGGCGTCTTGCCCTTGGCCGTCTTGCCCTTCTCCTCCTTGCCCTTGGGCGTCTTTCCCTTGCCCGCCTTGCCCTTGGCCGTCTTTCCTTTGTCTACCTTGCCCTTCTCCTCCTTGCCCTTGGGCGTCTTGGCCTGGGATGACGACCCGGCCTCGGTCCGCGCACCCAGCGCCGCCGACGCCATGGCCGCGGCGTCGTCGAGGCTCACCGAGCCCTCGACCACTTCGGCAGCAATGCGCTCCAGGAACGGCCGCGGGGTGCGATCGCTGATCATCGGCATGAAGAAGTCGGCCAGCCCGTTGAGGACAGCCTCGACCGGGTGCTCGTTGTCGAGAAAGGCGATCATCTCGGGCGCGTTCGATCCGAGCCTCATCAGCTCGTACAGCTGCGTGCGCAGCGCATCATCTACCTTTTCATCGAGGACCTGGCGAAGCGTAGCCTTGGCCTTCTTTGGCGACCACCGCGGCGAGCGGAGCGGAGCAAGCACGGCCTGGAGGCGGAGCTCCAGATGAAAGGCGGCGTAGGCCGACTCGCTGCTCCGGTCCCAATCGTCGGGCACAACCTTGTCAAACATCTCCAGCGCAGACGCCCACTCGCCCGACCGCACCATCTTGTCCAGAATGTGCACTTGCAGCATGCTGCGGGTCTTGGGCGTGACCCTCGCCGCAAGCTCCGGCTCGCCTCCAGCCGGTAGCACGGCTTGGACAAGGACGTCGAGTCCGTAGGCCACCGCATACTCGACAATCCAGTCAAGCACAAGGTCGGTAGTCATCATCTCATTCTTCTCGTGTTCGTCGCCCATGTCTGACGCTACAAGCCTGTCTTCAGCACGTACGTCCACGTGAAGTGCCTCTTGCTCTCCCGGCTTCTCTCCCCTCGCCCGTCCGCCAGAGGTCGTCGTCGCCTCGATGCTCGCTGCCCGTCCTTGTTGCTACCGCTGGCACCTTTTTGGCGCCACCACCCGCGCCAAAAAATACCGCACTTCACCACCACCATTTATCCCATCCCTCTGTACCCAATGGACAAATGTGCCCATCGCATTTTCGAGTTGTGTACTTAAAGACGCGCGGCAATGCGTCCGAGCGACTGTACCGTTAACGTTTATGCTGTGGTCGGCTGCGACGACCTTGGCTTGCTCGACGCAGGCACCGCCGCCGGCGCCGATGTCGAGGCCGACACTGGCTCGCCAAAGGCAGAATTGGGCGCAATGCCACCCGCAGCCGTCAGAGGCGCCGCGGACGCTGGCGTAGGCGCGGCCGAGGTCGGTGTCGACGGTGTCGACTCGATGCAGACGACCGAATGGACTGGATCCTCCTCCACAAGCGTGTACTCGGGAAACGAGGCGCAAATGGTGCGGAGAAACTTGCGCTGCGCCGACGACGAGAGGGTGTGGAAGAGTTGCGCGCACGAGAGAATGCGATCAACAGACGTCGCCACCTCGCTGCCGCCCGGCACAGCGCCGGGCGGCGCGCGCGGAGCGGGCGACGACCCCAAGTCCGACACGCCATTTTCCACTGTGCGATCCGCCCCGGAGAACAGCGACGGCAGCGCCTGCTGGGAAATCGGGGCATCGATGTTGTACGGACCGAGCGCTTCGAACAGGCTCTGTGGGTCCGATGGGTTGCTCGTCCGCGGCAACTGTGCCGCAGGCCGGTTGACATCAAACGAGCTCGACGAGTTGTCGAGGAACGACTGCAGCGTCGACATGGCGCTGTTCATCGACGGAAACGAGACCGGCGACTTGGCCGGCGAAAAGAGCGAGATGCCCTGTAGGAGGAGCGAGCCGGCAGGCATCGCTGCAATCGAGTCGATGCTTGCGTCGAGCGGGAGGCAGACAGAGCCCGGTGTCGCTGTCTTGGACATGCCCGACGAGCCCGACGAGCCGGGCGTCATTCGCGGCGTGAGCCCCGGAATTGTCCCGCGTCCTCCCATCATCGTTGACCCCGACGCGTCAAATGGGGTCATCGGCACCAGCGGTGGTGTCGCCGAAAACCCGCTCGGCACGCTCGTGCCCACTGCGAGTTTGGGAATCTTGGCAATCCGCTCCTCCACAGTCAGCTCGGCCGCCGCCGCGTCGCGCTTGCGGGCCGCATCGATGTTCACCGAGCTCGCCTCAGTGGCGCTCTTCCCTGACCCCGTCCCCTCCTTCTTGGATGACCTCGCAGAGTTGTTCGCCGACGACGACTTCTTCTTCTTCTTGCCCAGAAATTTGGACACAATCTTGATCATCGGCGAGGAGCAGACCGAGGTCCGCAGGACCTTGCCGCCTTCGTCCGTCTCCACCAGCGTCACCGTGAGGCGGAACCGTTTGTTGCCGTGAAAGTGCGAGTTGCATCCGGCCGAGACCTTGAACCGCCGCACGCCCGGCTCATCAGAGTCGTCGTCATCTGCAGGCTCGGCCTCCAGCGACCCGTACCGCATCGGCGGATGCACGCCGCTGGCCACCACCTCGGTCGCATCCATGGCCGCCATCGTCTCCACGTCCCACGCCGACCCGTGCGCCACCACCGTCGCCGGCGGATGCCCCAACCGGAACGCTATGATATGGTCGTACGGCGGCCGCGGGCACCGCTTGCAGAGCTTCACCCGTCCGCCGTCCGCATACGTCAGATCCCACACCAGATAGTGGTGCTCTGCCAGTGTCTCCAGTGTCGTCCCAGTCGCCCGAATCTCCACCCGCGGGAACGCCGCCCTGCCCGTCCGACATGGCGCCACAACCATAGCCATACACACACACACACACACACACACACACACACGCGCGCGCGCGCGCGCGCGCACACGCACGCACACAATGTCAACCATGTCAGTCAACATGTCGCACTCGCGCCAGAATACTCGAGTGCTCGCTATGCACAGCCCAACTGCGACCTTTTTCCCCACTCCCCAGCTCCCGGCCCATGGGCGACATGGCCGAGGTGGAGAGGGTAGGGGGAGGGGGGGAGGGGGGAGGAGGGAGAGGAGGGAAGGGAGAAGGACAAGAGAGTAGGCGGGGGTAGAGGGAGCAGAGGAAGGAAGGGAATGGGTGGAGGGAAGGGAGGGAGGGAGGGAGGGAGGGAGGGAGGGAGAGGAAGGGAGGGGGTAACGTGGGCGGTAGGCTGCAGGTCCAGGGCAAAGGGGGGGGGCGTGGTCGGACGCCACTCACCCACACCCACACCCACACCCACACCCACACCCACACCCACACCCACACCCACACCCTCCCCCACACTGGGTCCAGACTTAACGTACCGGTCCTTCCACATTTCGATACTCCCGTCATCTTTGAACCGGACAGAGTCAGAGTACAAGTGCGGTCGGCATGAGACGCGGGTGAACCCAAACTCGAGGGGCATGCCCAGTGTGCGCGCGAGAGGGGTGTCGTGACTGATCGCTACAAGGCCCTGCGACTTTGCCACGAGCCAATCGGTGTCAAGTGAGCTGCGCGAGCTCTCTCGCCAGCCACACTATCGCACCACTTTCGACGAGACGAGGCTGCCATCGCTCTTCGCCTCCTTGCACAACACACGCTCGACGATGCCTTTTAAAATGAAATGGTGTATCAAGGCTGGGATCACGACCGCGCACCGCCCGGCTGTGCGGGGCCAGCCCGCGTGCGGCCGCGATACCGCGACTTGTACTTGATCCGCAGCTGCGCCTTGCGCGCCTTGAGCGCAGCCGCAGCCTTCTCGCGTTCAGCATGGCAAAGCCGCTCGTAGGCGCGAACTTGCTCAAACTGGGACCGGAGCGCAGTAGTGGTGACCCACGCCGGTGAGTCGGGAATGAGCGATCGGACTGTAAACATGATTGCGAGGACAATGTGCTCGACGACCACAATGATAAGGAGCCGGCCGTAGCGCGAGGCCCCGGTCGCCTCGGCAATCGACTTACTTGTCCACATCATGATGGCGCAGTTGGTGAGGACGCCCACCACCGCGAGGACCTGCAGCAGGAAAAACCACTGATCCTGGATGGCCGACGTCGCGTGCGGCAGCGGCCGCTGGTACGCCTTGAGCAGCGTCACCGCGTCGGTCCGGATCTCCACCACGTTGTTGGCAAGCGCAAAGACCGCCGCCAATGGGAACGCCGCCGCAAAGAGCAGCACATATCCTAGCTGGGTCACAATCTCCGCATACTGTGAGATCGTCCGCGTCAGCGCCGCCCGCTGCGCCTCGCGCTCGACCGCCGCCCGCTCCGCGCCCGAGAGCGGCAGCGTTGCCGCGCTCCCGCCGACCGCTGCTCCTGCTGCCGCGCTCCCGCTCGAGCTCCCGCCAAGCTTCCCGCCCACCCATGCGCTTGCCTGCTGCCCGCGCGCGTACGCCCACGGCATCGCAAACTCGACAATCGCCCCGAGCAGCTGCCGTGAAGTCATGATGGCAAAGAGCTGCACACCAAGGTCGATGACGCAGTCGTCGCGCGCGCAATTGTCCTGGAACTTGCCAAAGATGTTCGAGGTCTTGAAAAACGCAATGTAGAAGAGTGAGGCGTACGCGTTGACAAACTGAAAGGCAAAGACCTTGTTGATGAGATGCCGCTCAAACTCGGCGTCGGTCCGGTGATTCTCCCATGAGTTGAGCATAAGCGCCACCGAGGCGTACACCCGGTTGAGCACAAAAATGGTGAGCGCGTTGATGGCGCCGGCAATATACCCGCCGCCCCACAGGCCCACCCGCCCCAGAATGATCCGAAGAATGAGGACAGATATGGTGGTGATGAGGACAAGGGCAAGGAAAAACGCCACAATCGGCATCGAGAGCACCTGCGTCAGCCGCCGCCGCCACACCGGATAGTAGCGCACCGTGTACGCTGACTCAAACTGCTGGCTCGCCTCAAGCTCGCTGCGCAGCGTTGCCATCACCCCGTGCAGCGAGATAAACTGCCCGTCTACGTAGGTGCCGACCCGCGGCACCCCGCGGTACGCCAGCCGCTCTTCCTCGTGGTCGCCAAAGTGCTCCAGGCCCCACATGTACCGCAGTGCGTTGCGGTCGCGCTTCCAGAACTCAAGCATGAGTGTGACCCAGAGCATGAGCAGAATGCAGTAAATCGGGACCGCAAGCGAGTCGTGCCAGGTCAGTGCCTGTGCAATCGCCACGCACACAGACGCCACCGCCGGTGCCACCAGCCACCGCGCGTAGTGGCCCAAAAACGCAAAATACATGCCGACCTCGGCCCCAAAGTACTCCTTGATTTCCTCCAGAGGCTGCTCCGTCACGTGCGAGACCGGCGCCTTGACCCAATCGCGCATCAGCGCGTCCACAGCCCGGCTGTCGTGGAGAGGAAAGGCGTCGACCACAAAGTCTGGCCGCTCGTCAGAAGTGAGATCCACGCCCGCCCCGCCGCTCTCGGGCGTCGTCTCGAGCAGCACTCGCATCAGCCGGACTTGCTCCGCCGGCTCAAACAGATCACCTCCCGGCCCACGCCGGTAGTGGCTCACATTGCAGCTCTGGAACCGCTCCCATCGCAGCACAGATGCTAGCGATGCCAGCCGGATTTGGACTCCCAGCCGCTCCGCCACCGGAAACAGCATCGACATGGTGCATCCCACAACAACATACTCAGCGCTCCCGTTCTCGCTCATCCCAGACTTGACCGAGCATCCCGCCCGCTGCAGCGCGCTCACCAATCCGTCGCGGGTCGCCACTTGCGCCATCGTGTCCTTGCGGGTCTCAAACTCAGAGTCGGACGACGACGATGACGACGACGACCGCGGCGATGACGAGCCGCTCGAGCCTCGCGCCGCCGCCCGGCTCGCCGCCTGGCATTTGGCTACATCCAACACAATCGCATACATCCAATGCACGTCGCCATGGTCGCGCGGCGCATACAGCGACGAGAGTCCGGCATGCGTCGCCCACGAGCCGACAGTGTGTGTGCTCGGGCTCGCCGGCCCAGCCGTCAGCGCCACGCGTGATCCACTCGACGAGTTCACAAACGGCGGTGTGAGAGGGAGGAGCGAGTTATGTGAAGAAGGCGCGCGCTGCTTGCTCGACACGCCTCCTCTCAAGCCACGACCTCTGCCGCCATCAGCCCGCTGCAGCCCGATCTGTCCGTGTCCCGAAGCGCCCGCCAGCAGCGGCTGGTACGCGTTGAGCAGAGTATCGTCCGAAGCCAACGATGAGCTCGACGAACTCGACGAACTCGACAAACTTGACAAACCATCCACCTCCTTGCCATCGCCATCCAGCGCATGTACCCTGTTGTCGCTGTCGCTATTCCGCCCGCCGCCGTTGTTCATGGTATCGTCAACAAAGGCGATCTGAGTCCGCGCCGCGGCCTCTAACGACGTCGGGCCAGGCAACAGGCCATGGGTGACGAGTGGTGGGGGTGGAGGGCAAGTTGTAGGGGCCACCCGTGGCATAGTGGTGATAAGGGGGGGGGGGGGGGGGGGGGGGGAAGTAGTGGTGGGTGGGCGAGTGGCCGTGGCCGCTGGAGGAAACCACTCGAGAAGGCGGGCGGGCGGGGCAGGCGATGGTGCCGACATGTTCATTACCATAGGTCGCGAGCAGTGGGAGAACGGCAGAGGAGGAGTGAGGGGGAGTGTGCCCACGTGTACAGGGAGAGGATTACCTGCGCGAGGAACTGGCGTCACTGTCATCGCCCGAGCCAAAGGTGACCTTGCGCGAGGTTGAAGAAGAGCCGCCGCCAGAGGAGAGGGCCGAGCGGGTGGCGGACGGGTAGCGTGCGCCGGAGCGGGCAAAGACCTTCTTGAGGTGGGCGAGAAGGGCGAGGAGGCCCTTGTTGAACACCTTTTCAAACTTGGGGTTCAGCGGGTTGTCGTCCATGTTGAGGACAGCCAGCGAGTCGCAGGCGTGCATGGCCGGCGGGAGGGCGGTGAGCGCGTTGCCGGCGACGTTGAGGGTGACGAGCGATGTGAGCGCGCCCAGGTCGGCTGGCAGCTCGGTGAGGCCGTTGTGCTGCAGGTACAGCTCCTCGAGTGCAGTCATGCCGGAGAGCTGGCGCGGCAGCTGCGTCAGCTCGTTGCCCTCGACGTCGAGCTTCTTGCACCGCGAGAGGAAGCCGAGCGTGGCCGGGAGCTCGGTGAGCGCGTTGTTGCGGAGGATGAGGATCTTAAGCCGCTTGAGGTTCCCCACAGTGTCCGGAATCTCGCTGAGGCCGCACCGCGCGAGCGAGAGCTCCCGCAGTGACCGCAGCTTGGAGATCTCGCCGGGCACGGCCGTGATGGTGTTGTTAGAGAGCATCAGCCGCTCCAAGTTCTTGAGGCCGAGCACCTCCTCCGGGAACTCACTCAGCTCGTTGTTGGAGAGCACCAGCTCGCGGAGCGTGGTGATGGTGCCGATATCGCGCGGAACAATCTTGAGCCTGTTGCGCGCAAAGTCGAGACGGGCGAGCATGGTGGGGACCAGGACCCGCGCCGAGGTCAAGTCCAGCGCGTTCTCCGCCATCTTGAGCGTCTCCAGCTGGCCCATGTCGGCAATCTGCGAGGGGAGCTTGGTAAACTCGTTTGACGACAAGTCCAACTCCACCAAGTTGACCAGATTCTCAAACTCAAACGGCAAGCTCTTCAGCCGATTGCCGGCCGCCACAAACCTTGTCAGCTGCGTCAGGTTGCCGAGCTCTCCCGGCAGCGACGTGAGCTCTACCCGCATACCACAGCGCATATCCATACAGACCGAACCACACACACACAGGCACACACAAGAACATAAGCACACACACACACATACACACACCATGCCCCACATGAGTCACACTGGTTTTGCCCTCTATGCCCTTCTCCCAATTGTTATTGCTCTGCAAAAAGGGCAGAGGGTGAACGTTGGCCCGCTGACCACCGAAACTCTCGCCAGGAGAGGGAGAGGGGGGGGGGGGTATAGTCATGGAACCCGTACCATTGAGACCGAGATTAATACGCTTGACACGAGTAAGACCGGTAATAGCATCAGGAAGGCTAGTGAGACCCATATTGACTAGCTGGAGCTCTCGCTCTCGCTTGGTAATGGTCTGCTCCACCAGGTACTCGGCGTTGTCTTTGGCTCGAGCTGCCATTGTGTGGTGTGTGTATGTGTGCTTTGCTCGCTCTCTGCCCCCGCACCAGCTGCAGTCGAGTGTACCACTTGCTGCAGTGCGATGACCCGACAACCGACGACCAGCCAGCGACCAGACTGCCGACGCCGACCGACTACACACTGAATTCGATGAGAGACTGGCGGATAGATCCCAAACTTTGTGGCCGGGGCTCGTACGGGAAATGTTGATGAGTAGAGCCAAGGTAATCAGCTTCAGAAGAGGCGGTGTGATGGCAACATGTGGTGGCTGCTACTGCCAGGCTGCAGATCGTCACCGATGATGGCTGCGATCGGTGGTTGGGCGGGTGCTGCATAGCGAGCGCCAGTGCTAGTGGTGGCTGTCGTCGTCGTTGCTGTTGTTGTTGCTATCGTCGTCGTCGTCGTCGTCGTCGTCGTCGTCGTTATCGTCGCCCCCGTCGTCATTGTTGTCATGATCGTGACTGCGGTCCATGGCAGAAACAAGCGGTCGAGTACGGCAGCAGTCGACTCTCCACATCTATGACGACGATGACGACTGCTGCAGTCTTTGTGACAGTAGCCGTGCTGGTGGCGGCTGTCGTCTGTTGTGTGGATGGGGATGGGAACAGAAGGCCAGGAGCGAGAGCGACCTCGTCTCTATCGTCAGGCACTGAACGGACATCAGCCGGTACGGATAGCCGAGTCGAGACTGGGGATACTCATCTCTTCCACGTGTCTGGGCTAACAAACAACATTGTCATGGCTGCTGCTGGTGCTGGCTCTGGTGGTGCTGCTGCTTCTGCTCCTGCAGGTTACCCGCAGACCATGCGCCTGGTCAGGTCGCCGCCGTTTGGCGAGCCGTCGGTCATGACGCCGGTGATAGATGAGGTGGCCGCGCTGAAGGCTGGTACTGTCCTGATCAAGACTGCGTTTGCTGGTGTGAACCGAGCGGACACGCTGCAGCGCAAGGGCAAGTATGCGCCGCCCAAGGGCGAGTCAAACGTCCTGGGTCTGGAGGTTGCCGGAGAGATAGTGGCCATCAACAGCAACGGCGCCGAGTCGTCGTGGTCGGTTGGCGACCGCGTGTGTTCGCTCCTTGGTTCGGGTGGCTACGCCGAGTATGTCGCTGCTCCGCTGGAGCTGCTGATCCCGGTGCCCGAGGACGTGCCGATGGAGGAGGCTGGTGGCTTTCCGGAGGCCTTTCTCACCGCCTTCCAGGCCGTGTCGTACATCGGCAAGCTTGGCGCCGGCGAAACGCTGCTTATCCACGGCGGCGCGTCGGGCGTCGGCACTGCCGCCATCCAGCTTGCTAAGCTCCTTGGAGCCAACGTCATTGTCACTGCGTCGACGGCCGACAAGCTCGCGACGTGCTCCTCGCTCGGCGCCGACGTGGCCATCAACTACAAGGACACCGACTTTGTTGAGGAGGTCAAGGCTGCAACCGATGGCCGTGGCGTCGATCTTGTTGTCGACTACGTTGGCTCAGCGTACTTTTCCCGCAACCTCGAGGCGCTCGCCCTCGACGGCCGCATGGTCATGCTCGGCTTCCTCTCCGGCGCAGTCGTCGACGCCCCGCTCTCGCTCGCGCCCATCCTCCGCAAGCGGCTCACCATCACCGGGTCGACGCTCCGCACCCGTCCCATGGCGTACAAGGCTGAGCTAGTGGCCGGCCTCATCGCCCTTGCCGGCGACGCCTGGGCCAACCGCTCTCTCAAGGTCATTGTCGACTCGGTGTACGCTCTCGACGACGTCGCCGACGCCCACTCGCACATGGAGGCCAACGCCAACATCGGTAAGATTGTCCTGCGCCCGTGAGCGCACGAAAGATCACAATGAACGGAGGGAGACAAAGGTGTGTGAGGTTCATGCCGAATAGTACGAGTCGTAGCTCTCGGGCTCGGTCCGCTTCTTGCCCTTTGCAGCCTTGGTGACCTTGGTAGCCTTGGTCGCCTTGGTCGCCTTGGCCTTGGTCTTGGCAGCCTTGATAGCCTTCGCAGCCTTGCCCTTGCCCTTACCATTGCCCTTGCCCTTGACTTTGGACTTGCCGGTGATCGGACCGGGCTCGGGCAGGTCGGCGTCGGGGAGGTGCGAGTCCGAGGCGACAAAGATGGAGAGGGCGTGCGGGATGGTGGAGACGGTGATGGGGCCGTCAAAGGGAATGACCTCGCCGTCGATGTTGATGAGACCCGGCGAGGAGGCCGGAACAATGACTGCCTTCTGGATGCGGTAGGTCTGGATCTTGCGGTTGCCGGTGTGGGCACCGCGCGGGAGCTGGGTAAAGGTCTTGAGCAGCTCGCCGCGGTGAGCCTGCTCGAGAATGGCGATGTCCATGCACCCATCGTCGAGCTTGGCAGAGGGAACGACGTAGTAGCCTTCGCCAAAATGCGGCGTGTTCTGGATAAAGGCAGTCATGAGGTTCTGGTTAAAGGTGATGGGCTCGTCGAGGTCGCCGCCCGAAATGGTAATGGTCACCTTTTCGGGCTTGGCCTTAAAGCCGACCCACGCGGCGTGGGCGTACTTGCCGATGGTCTCGTTGCGGTGGAGCTCGGCGGCAACGCCGATGTCGCCGACAAGGCCCCAACAGATAGTCATGGCCGAGAACTTGACGACGGAGCGGGCATGCGGGTTGGGCTTGAACTTGACCCGGTTGACATCCATGTGGTAGACCTCGCCGCGGGCGATGCGGCGGGCGGCCTGAGCGAGCCGGGTCTTGAACAGGCCGAGCGAATGGCCGACGGCGTTGCCGGTGCCGGACGGGATGAGCCCAATGGGTACCGCCGAGCCGTCGGTCCTGCGCATCATGCCGTTGACTACCTCGTGGAACGAGCCGTCTCCGCCGGCGACCACCAGGCCGTCGAGCTTGGACGTGTCGATGGTCTCGGCGAGGACGACCGCGTGGCCGGCGTACTCGGTCTCGAATACCTTGACCTCGATGCCAAACTCGTCCTCAAACACCGGGCGCAAGATGTCGCTGACAATCCGGACGCCCTTCTTGTTGCCAGAGAGTGGGTTGACAATGAGGCCAAGCCGCTTGAGCGGGACTCGGACAACCGGCTCGTCGTTCATAAACGGATGGGTCTTGGGCGTGCTTGCCGGCGCGCAGCAGAGGCCGCCAAAGTAGACCGGCGAGAGCCGCCAGCAGCAGAACCCACATCCAAGCACGATGCAGGCAATGAACACAATCCACAGCGTCAGCGATGTGTCGTCCGAGTAGTCGTTGGAGAGCAGGAACGGCAGCACAATACCAAGTGGCGCCACAAGCGTCACCACGCACCATCCAAGGACGTACGTGTTGATCCGCTCGGCCCCGTCGCAGAACGACGGGAAACGGCGCATCTGCTCCTTGGTCAGCACCGTGTCCCACGAGAACGACGACGACTGCGACGGGACGGGACGACGACGACGACGCCGAGGACGATGACGACGCAGTCGTAGCAGCGCCACGCCCGCGCCGCGCACCTTGTCGCTCACCTCGGCTTCGCTATAGGTCCCGTAGCTGTACGAGTCTGTGCATCGCAGGCAGACGTAAGTTGGTCAGCCAGATCGCTAGCAAACGGGAGCGATGGACGGAAGCGCAATGGGTGCGAGCGAACGAGCGAGATGGTCCCATACCAGCACTCTGTTGATCAGCCGTTGTCACCAAGATGCATTTCACAGGAGGGGGGGGGG